GCCACGTAGCTTCTAGTTGTGAGGGTCGAACAAAAACTGAGAGGTTTCAATGTATAGAGTACTGCAAAAGAGGCGATGGTGAGCGTCAGCAACGTTAACGATATAAATCGGCACGGTGAGATAAAAAAAAGGTGTGTTGGCTGTGCCTCACAGATCAGTTGCGCCCGGCGAAGGGCTAATTTTTGACAAACTTAAGAGAAATTTGTTCATAATCTTCAACAATAGTAACTACATATTTTGAGCTTAAAAAGCAATAAAACAGCATCGAAATAAGCAAGAGTTTACTTGCTTTTCACGATTTAAACTTTTCGAAGTCAAGATAAGCTCAAAGATATTTTAAATATATTTCGTTTATTGCAGCTCTCTGCTGTGTATCTACGTTTGTGCGTTATACGCTCGAACCCTCAGCTATGCAAAAACAAAGAAAAAAAAACCCCAAACGTAAATTGAATTTCAATCAAATCTAAACTCAGCCAAATAAACGGAGTCGGATGATACATGGCAGAAAGCAAAGCACGACGAGGAGGTATTGTCTATACTAGAGGCGTGGATGAATATAAAAATAAAAACAACGCTTTAATTTTTTAGCATGCAAACGTTGCCAATCATGCATATGAGCCATTCTTTTTTAAGTCGGATAGATTTAAAAAAAAAAAATTATGTCATGACTCCGATTCGCTTAAAATCATGGGTTCTCTACATGAAATGAGTTAACACGTGTTCGAGGAATTTTTTTTTTAATTTTTATAAGATGCTCTATTTTGTGAGAATCACCAATTTTCTGTAATTTATTTTCAAAAACTTACTTTCAGATATATTTTATTAGGTGTTAAACAGCGGGTTTTTGCAAAAAGTGAAATTCTTTTCCGGATTCCGATAGAATACCTATTCAGAAATAATATTAGTATGGCAAGATTTTTCTTAAAGGCGACAAACCCCTAGAAATGGGCGTGGCAATTGCAGGACTAAAGTTAGCAAAACGTAGATTTTATTGCGGTTTCGGCAGAATATCGCTTCGCTAACAACATTTGTTCCACAACTTTTTCAATCAAAGAATATTCTAGAAAGGGGCGTCGTATTGTGGATATCGCCAGAATATTTATATGGATTGTCAGCTTAAAGAAAATTCTTGCCATCCAAATATTATATCTGTACTGGTATTCTATCAGAATCCGCAGAAAAGCTTTGAACTTTTGCCAAAACCCGATATATATTTCATTTATATATATATATATTCGCATGAATTCAGGTTTAAAGGAGTTTTTGAGGTCGCTGAATTTTTGCAAAAATCCAATGTTTAACACCTTAATAAATATATCTCAACATGAGTTTTTGAAAACAAATAAAAAATTGTTTGATTCTCACAAAATTAGCTATCTCGTCATAGAGAAAAATATGTTAAAAATAGCTCCTGAAAAATGCCTATTATTTTAACCACGCCGAGCCGCGCCGCCGCCATTTTTTGTCATTTCTAACGCGCCTCCGCCATGTTACGAAAATATCGGCGGAGCGGCGGCGGCGGCGTTCGGCGCCTAGGGAATTTCGTACAAAATCTGCATAATTATGCACATTGAAAAATATCGTTTGAAGGATAAATACTCGTATAAATAACGCTATTTTACGAAATGAATAATTACAACTTTTTTTTTACCAAACCTGGGCCCCTTTATTTTTCTAAAAAAAAGCGTAGCTCATAACAAACATAGCAAACACGTTTTTCTAGCGAAAGCGTTTATTACAGTTAAATTAGGATCGAATATTGGTAATCTGTCGATTATTCCGCAGTAGGCAATTTTTTCAATACTACAATAATCATACTTTTTTTATATAGGTACTCCAACAACAAGAAAGTTATCACACATCAAAAACTTAAACGCTAATATCTCAAAGGGCAGTTTTAACAGAAGTGCCCTCAATGCATCTAACTCCACAATTTTTCGAGAGAAAACAAAAACAAGTGGATTTTCTTCTTCAGACCTTTAATAAAAAGCAAAACCTTTGCTTTTTTGCTAATTTTCAAATTCGTAAGTTACTTTATTCTGGGTTGCCACAGACGTATACAAGTACTAGGCGGCTCTGTGAAAATTACGTTAGCATTCTTAAGTGGTGATCAAACTCCGGGTTTTGCTCCCTCACATCGCAATGTTTTCTGCACAGGGTTAAAGTTCCCCCTTTTTGGTAAAAATTAGTATTACTTTTCATTACAATCGGTTATCCTTAGAAAAAAAGTGGCGCTCAATATTTGAGTGGAAATTTTAACCATCTATGAGCTACTTCTTAAAAAAAGGGTTAAAAAGCCCGTTCTGGCGGTAGTTGATTAGTTAAACTGTAGCGCTGGCGTTTCCAGACGCGCCGGCGTCGCCGCAGCCGCCGATTATTTTTGAAGTTGACCATGCGGCCGCCGTAAAGCCTGTTAAATATTATTACATATGGCTCATATGTATGTATGTATGTATATCGGAAAAATTTCGGTACACAATTTCCGCATATCCCTTCAAATAAGTTTTGACATACAAACATACGTATGAAAAAAAAACTTTTGTTAATATGTATGTATGTACGACATTTATCTGTTAAACTCAATCAGTAAAATCTCTTCACTTGATTGATCAAAAGAAAACAATCATCGCAGATTTCGAGTATCAGAAAATGGCGAAGACCCTTCCTCATCAACGAAGCAACCAACGTCAATGCTATCCACTCCACACCATTTACACCCACCCGCCACATTAATTTGCATGCCCATTATTCCCAAATGCTTGTATGCTCTTACCAATCTCATCTTCTGTTCAGCTTACACTCCCCTTTTTCCCTGACTTCATCATTGATATTTACTGCTTTGTGGCAGCTTGCGTCCTTACACTTCGAGGCGATTGACAGCGAATGTCAAATCGTCCTTTCACACTACAATTTGTTGTTATTGTTGTTGTTGTAGTTGCTGTAATTGGCCACATTGCTGCAACTGAAGTTATTTACACAGATGCTGCCGTTTCTGTGGCCTTCGCCCTCGCTAGAGGTGTGCTGTAATCACTAGTAGCTGGTGGCTGCTGCGACTGTTGGTTGCTCCGGCTGCTGGCCATTGCCGACCTTTTTGTATGCGCGTTAGGTCGTACCAGCTGATGAACTCATTGATCGCATGCAAACATATGTACATACATA